CGGTGAGCAGCGACGACGCTGGGCGCGTTGCGGACGTGCGAGGGTGTAGATGCATAGCCGAGACGAGTGGGGGCAGTGGCGTCTACCAAGTGGAGTAGAGGCGGTAACGCGAGCAGGAAGAAGGGCAGCGGGACGACGTGGCCACACAAGGGATGCACAATGGTGCGCAATGATAGGGGTGCAAGGGAGAGGACGTACCAAATGAGTAGATGACACAGTCAGGCTTGTCCTGTATTCTGGACATGCCGCATATCCATTTCCCGCCGTCGCCGAGGGCACCTAGCCTGTCGAGTTCGTGGGGGCAGTTGTATAGTGGTGGGAAGAAGTCCCCTGTAGGTAGACGTCAGCTGCGAGCTGCGAGGACGGCACTGGCTCGGACTCACAGACGGTGTATGGTGGCCAAGGATCTTGGTCTGGGGGAAACCTGGAGGAAAGTTAGGAGGAATGGAGCGGAGGCGAAGAGGGGGGACGGACATGACGACTTGTGCTGGCGTAGGGCCATATCGTGTTATGAGCTCCTGACGTTGAGGGAGCATTGCGCGGTACTTGCGCTCCTCGCGTTCTAGCCGCGCCTGAAGCTCGTTATTCGCATTGTAGCGAACGGGTGAAGGTGGAAGTGTAGGGGTAGAGAGAAACCAGTAGGCGCAGAGGACGAAAGCGGCGAGAGCAAGGGTATAGCGAGGATGGCGCTGTACGGTGAGCACGAACGGCGACTTGGCCATGGTGGCGAGCACACGAGCGAGCGCACGAGCTCGATCGAGAGAGTGGACGAGAAGAGGAGGCCTGCTGTGGCTGCAGTGAGCGTTGTCTTCTGGGCCTCTCATTGGCTTATACCCGGCTGCTTTCCCACGCAGCAACTACAGCGTCTCCTTACGCGTGACGTCAGACCGCGCGTCGTCTCTTCCAGTCACTCGCATCCATCCATCCTCTCTTTCATGTCCTCATCCTCCCTTTCACGTCCTCATCCTCCGCTATCACCTCTCCACTCGCCCCGCTCCGGTCCGTTCCGGAGCACTCTCCGCCAATCCCGCTTACCCATCTCGTCTCGTCATTTTCGCGTGACTACGATAAGGTGAGACATCAGAAAAAAAATAGGTTTGCTACAGAGGTCCCGGTGGGCTACATAGCCGCCATTGTCGCGTAGCATACCCCCGGGGTACATGGCCTACATAGCGCCCGGTGATGCCGATATCTGTTGATGTAGCGCCCTGCGCCCTGTATATATCGCAACATAGCTGCATATGCCCTCTCTATCGGTCCTCTGTAGTGGTGATATGCACGCGATAGTGGCTATGGTAGAGAACAAAACATGCTGCATTGACGGCTATTGGACTACATTACTTTGAATCCTACTCCACTACTGCATCTCGCTGGGGCGTGCTCTGACGCTCACGACGCTGGCGTTCGAGCTCGAGCCTGAGACGATCACGGGAAGACGCGGAGAGACCAACCACTACGGGGGCAACGAGTGGTGCTGCGCCCGAGGCTCGCCTGTCAAGATGTTCACAGAGAGCATTAGTTTTCGTAAGATAAGAGTGTCTCATTATAGCATACCTTGCACGGTCGTGAAAGTCTTGCATGGTCGCCAGGGTGATCTCCTCATCAATTTCGCGCCAGTCCTCAATCGCCCGGAGATGCTTGATATACTTTGACTTGTATAACTTCTCGGTGAACTGGAGCCGCAAATTGAAGATCCCGGTCTCCCATTGGTCGAGGCAGAACTCAATCTATGAATAGAGTAAGTTACGAAAGGCATGAGCAATCGAAGCATGACATCAACATGATGAAAAAAGACTACGAACCGCAGTAAAGAGGAGTGCCAAAGTTACATTGCGGATGGGAGAGAAATATGTACTGTATCTGACACCAAGTCCAGTGGCGTCAGAGAACCAGCTCTTCTGTATAACCTTATGAACAATGGGATGTAGCGCGAACCCGGACGGAGTGAATGTGTCCTGCAATAGGTGACATTGTGAGATACTTGTTCTGACTGGAATCTCCGCGGGCGTCGGAGACTTACCTGGTAATGGAAGACAGGGTGCGGCTCGTCCGAGTGGAGGTCGAGAAGTCGTGTATACGTAGCAATATTTGTGATTCTGGCATGCTCGGTACCATCAGTCAGCATACCGTACGTGCTCTCAATCCAGGGGCGAACAAGGTCCCGAAGACTGCCGCGAGCATGGGAATGCCGTTCAACAATCTCATTGATGTCCAATCAGTAAATCATATCACCAAGAACTGTTACATAGCACTCACAATATGTTCGATGTCGTCTGTCAACCGATAGAAGACCTGGACTTCCTGACAGATAGACAACCAGGCCTTGTCTGCCCACAGCACCTGCTTGTCGTCATCGGGGAAGGGATCCTCTGTACAAATCAGTACACTATAAAAATGGCACGCGCGAATGATCATCCTGCTTGCGTGCGACTCATAGTCTGAGGCCTTGGGTTTGCCCTTTGGCACCTTGTCATCCTTATATGGGGGGGGGCCGGAGGTCGCGCGACCGCACATCTATCATCGAGACCTGATGGATAGGAGTGCATCTTATTAGTTATAGGGTTTGAGCACTATATACAGGATCCTTGTACTAACCGATGATGCAGCTGCGGACTTTGACCGTTCTGAACGAACGGTCTGCGCTGGGGTTTGTGATTGGCCAGCCTGAGGCTCGCTCACGGCTTCGGGCTGCTGTTGTAGATAGTATCACTGAGCTAGGAATTTCGAAGGGAGGAGAAGGAGAGTGCATTCTGACAATTGCGGGTTCAATGGGCGAGCGAGTGCGGTAGCGAGCATGGGTGGGATTCACTAGTGGCGATGGCGGAGGCGATGGGACAGACTGTTGCCGAGAGGATTCAGAAGATGGCGACCTGGGAGGTGTGCTGTTACGATGAGAGGATGAGGGTGGGAGAGATGCAGAAGAGCATTGCGAGTGTGCTTCATTGGAGGCGGCAGAAGACGATCGACTTGGTATGCCAGATGTCGGAGACCGCGGCTGACCTCGCCCATCTGACCGAAGGTCAGACACATTGTCCTGATCAAATAGGCAGTGGAGATGAGAGTGCAATAGAGTGCGCGGACACAGTTGGAAAAGTGGGGTTCATTATCGTGGTTGTCATCGGCAATAGGATGAGCACACTGAATACATGAAAAGAGGGATGTGAGACATGTACGTACAAGGGCAACCTGAGATGATGACGCGTGCGAGGGCAACTCGGTGGTGTGCTGACGGCTTTGCGATTCGTGCACCCATCGCAGCTTCCTCTTGGGCTTGTCAGAATTGGCTGGGAAGACTCCTCGCGACTCGAACTACATAAACATCAGTGAAGGAATAGACAGATGTTGAGTTACGGCGAACGTACTGCAGATTTATGCAATTGCTCGGCGACTCGGAACTCCTGTTCTTCTTCGCTCTCGTACTCATCTTCATCATCTTCTGGACCAGCATTGAGGTAAGTAAGCGGCACTTAGAATATCAAGGCCGATCACTCAGCACTAGAGCACCATAAGAGCTTTGAACTAGCCCCTAGAGATACAGCCACCAGATGGCTTCTGAACGTCTGCATATCTGCTCAGCTGAAGTACAACATCCCAGATGCCGTGAATGGTACATCATCAGGTGCACCGTGATCCCCATCTATGGTCTGAATATCCAAACAGCGAGAGATCTTACCTTCTCCATTGACAGCCGAATCAGTGGCCAGCTTGCGTGTCAGTCGTGCCTTGTCTTTCCGAAGTCGCTCAAGTTCCTTCATGAGTTCCGCGACCTTCTGTTGCTCTGATTGACATCAGTGTGAGTATGTGGACTGAGACACCGCATACATACCTATTTCTGCCTGCTTGTGGGTTGGGATGCGAGGCCTAGTGCTTGCCAAACGCGCGACAGTTGAGCCCGAGGTTTTGCTTGCGCCCTGACTGCTGGACAGGGGAGGGGACTGGATGCCGGCATTGTTGTCTAAAGAGCGCTGCCCCTTTCGGGTAGCGCGAGTGGACGGGCCCATATCAGCCTCCAGAGAAGTTGTAAAGAAGCAGAGAGTTCGTGTCAGAACTGCCAGCGTTGAACATGCCAGTGAATATCGGGTGCGATCAGAATGTGGCTGATCTGGATTGGGACTGGGTCATCCTCCGTTCTGATTGGTTGTCAGTACACTCTACCCCCGTATTCAATCGCGCTCCGTTATCCTTATAGTCTTGTCCAAACTCAATATCCTGCTCTCCTCATGATGGCTCTCTTTGCCTGTCCACACTGCACCAAAGTAGACATACCTACACTTAAGGGGCTCCACCTTCATATCAAAAACAAGCCAAGCTGCCGACGCGCTGCAAACACTGCAAAAGCTGCTCACCGAGATGAGGCCCGTCTAGCAGCTACTCAGGCAGCCGTTCCGCAGCCGTTCCGCTCCCGTCCGAACCAGACCCTCCCGATGTCAGCCCCATGTCAATGGATGTTGAGGACGCACCTGACTTCCCACTCCCTTTCGTCGATCCTCCACCCAACACCCATTTCACAGACAGTGCAAATACTCACGCTCATACTTATGACGTCCCCATGTCAAACAACCCCCCATGGCCTCGTGTCACCATCGAGGAGGTACCCGACAATGATTTGGATGCGGGCGGACTCCCTCGCCATCCCTGGGTCAAGGACTATCCTGAGCCGGTGGGCACATCCCTTGGGACCGCTGAAACACTTTTTGAAGCCTACCGACGCGCACACAAGGAGACTGGGGAGGAGAAGTGGGGTCCCTTCGAGAGCGAGGAGGAATGGGAGCTGGCTCAATGGCTAGTCACCTCCGGGTTGAGCCAACAAGCCATTGATCAGTATCTAAAGCTAAACATTGTGAGTCTCCACTCGAAATCAACTCGAATGATTCACAACGTACGACTGACCAGAACCTTGCTTGTCACGTATAGACCCGTAACCGAACCCGACCGTCCTACACAAGCAAGTATCATCTCCTCAAGAAGATCGACGACTTACCAAAAGGCCACGCAAAGTGGGAAGTCGAGATTTTTGAGGCAGAGGGCGACGAGGTCGACGAGGATGGGAAGCCGAAGATAGAAGTCGTCGAGCTATGGAAGCGCGACGTCGTCGACTGTGTTCGGGAGCTAATCGGCAACCCGCTCTTCCGAGATGCTATTCGATATGCTCCTGAGCGCGAGTATGCTGACAATGAAGGGAACACGCGCATTTATAGCAACATGTGGGGGGCAGATTGGTGGTGGGGTGTCACAGTTTTCTCGTGCCACATGACCTAGGGGTCATGTGAACCAGGACAGACGCCCACCTTTACCACGAGCAACTCGTATCGGAAAGTGGAGGAGCCAGGATCGAACCCAGGACCTTGTGGGGTCCGGGAGCGCCCATTCTCACTCACTGGCAGGTGACTCACGCGTCAGCAGGGGCGCTTACTCATCGGAGGGAGCCCGGACTTAGCATGACTCAGGTATCAGTCATGAGGACATCATGTGACAGGTCAGGAGGCAGGACATGAGTCAGCAGACTCTGACCAAGCAGGGACAAATAGGTACCTGGTCTGTGCACCATTGCATTTGTATAAATAGTAGGGAGTCTGAGGCAGGGAACCTCAGACTTGATCTTCTCGTCGATCACCCATCTCTTCTGTAGGTAGCTAGCAGCCCTACCTCTCACTGCCCCTTCTAGTCTAGGGAAACTACATCTTTGCATCATCTCTTGCTGTGTCACTTGTGGTTGCTTCGCTCTCAGCACCAACCCTTCACCAGTAAGCTTTGTT